AAAGAGGACTCTATTTACATTTCGAGAACTTTATTGTCTCTTCCTCAGGAACTAAATGTTGAGGTTGCATTTCAAAAAGTTTTATGTGAATAGAAATATCTTATAGTAAAACATAAAATTGTGAATAAGTCAAACACGGTTAAAAACTGATTTAAACTTGAAAAAAAAATTACAGGTTAAAACCAACAAATCTGCAAATCTAACTAACTGCGCAATTTCTAATACCAAGAGAGCTCTGTTATATACAGTGTGTCCCAAAATGATGGAACAAAACAAAATTCATATTTTTTTCCAGTTCAGATTTTAAAAAATCGCTGAAACAGGTCAATTAGTAAAGAAACTGTCACTTTTCTGCAATTTTTTTGAGCCATGTTTGACATACCTATAACATTAACGACATTCTTTTTGAATAGGACGGCTTTAGAAAGGCTATCTATTTATGTATAAAATATAGAGCGTCCTATTGAAAAACAAATGTCGGTAATGTTATAGATTCATCAAACATGGCTCAAAAAAATAGAAAATATTGCAGAAAAGTAACAATTTCTATTTACAAATTTACCTCTTTCAGCGATTTTTTTAAGTTTCATCTGGAAAAAAATATGAAGTTTGTTCCATAATTTTGAGACATACCTACTGTATGTAAATCCTTATAATTTTAGGACAATATTTCTTGTTTAGAATAAAAAATCGTTCTATATTTAATAAATTTTCTAACAATTTCTATTTTTAGATGCCATATTTAATGACTATGTATTTTGATTAATTAAAAACATGGTAACTAATCCGTTGTTTACTCTTCATTGAAAGTAATTATTCCAAATATCGAAAAATTACATTGCATTACATTTTATTAATTTAATTTAACTGGAAATATGGAAAATTATTATTACCTATTATATATTATATTACGTTACACATGAAAATGTTATTGTAAACTGGTAGGTATAATGTCAATATTTCTATAAAATTAACGTCCCTGTCAGTACGTAGTTGATTTAGCTGGCGTCTGATTAAATTGCAAAATACACAGTTTCCAGAAAAATGTTATGCAGGCATATTTACCCACGAGATGCCGATGATATATTTTATACAGTATTCACAATATAAGTATGCATTCAGTAATATAAATATAAAATATAAGTAGCTTCTTAAATGTTAAATAACATTCCAAAACTGGAATAAATTGTACAAAATAACTTTTTCCATAAAAACAAATCACATGAAAATTTGAACAAAACCGTTATGGTTATTTACCAGAAGACCGGAAGTTTTCGTGTCGAGAATGGGAAATTACACCGTTATTCTCTCCGTTCCTTGTTTAACATGTCTAGTTTTTGCACCCCAGAAACCCATTTAATATAAATAACAATTTGGTATGAAATAAATCGTCCTTTTCGTGCATTTTATTATGCACAACGACTTCTTAATGGCCCCTGAAACTTTTAGCGTTCGGTTAATGAGCTTTAACTCCGTGCGAGTTTTAACAAATTGCGATGTTCACCTTGTTGAAATAAAATATAATGTCTCCCCGGAAAGTGTATCCAGTAATCCTTACGCCGCGCTCCACGAACTCCGAAGAAGAATTTACTTTGTTTTACACCGAGAGAAATATTTTTTAATAAAAATGACAGATATACTTAGTGTTTAACAATTTCCTATAGAGAAACGCATGTAAGTAACTCAGATTCTCGAGTATTATCAGGGAAAGGAAAGCAAAGCGGAAACGGAAAGAAATGCCACTTTAGTTTGTCTCTTGCGTAGATGGCGCTTTGAATAATAGAAAAGCATACGCTTCTTTGCCTTATAGGATTGTTCTCCGGTGTCATACGAGGTGCTTGAAATATAATGAAAATGGAATTACTATGAGGTTATAGAATTAAGTGAAATTGAGGTGGAAATGGATGTTCTGTAGGAATTTAATTAAAATGTAACAGAATTAACTAAAATTTCATTACAATGGACATCCTGAAAATTATCGACTTTGTGAACCTATTTCTGAACCTCTTTTAAACACTACTTACCATTAGATTTCACTTGGATTAGAATTTATTCTGTTTACTAAAGAATTTCATTTCAAGTCAAGCATGAAATACCAGCTTAATTATAGTCTATTTACATTACTGAAAAGGGCGTATAACGACCGGTTTCGATAAATGAATTCACAACTGATCTATTTGATGTTATCTATATGGAACGTACTTCGACTGATAAGATATACTATTATTTTTATTTTCATTTTCTGCGAAAATGTTCACGCAAACGCAAAATGTAAATACTCTATATTTGTTTACATTAAAAATGTAAATATTCCCATCCTGTAGAGCCATTGATTATAATTACATCTACTTAATTTTCTACGCCGTGGTAAAAATAGAACGCATCGAGACTATACAACGAAGCAAATGAAATGTAAAGCTCGACCAAATAGATCAATAAAGTGAATGTGAAAATTATTAAAATTAATATGAATCACTGTTTTATTTTTTACGCATGTAGTCAAGACGTATTAAAAATGAAAAGTCTTAAACGTGTAAAATAAAATACGATGTTTTGTCACCATAATGCATGGAGATCCCAAATGTACTTTACATTAGGAGGCAATTCTACTTATAAATAAATAAAATTATAGCACAAGTTCCTGTAAAACTTTTTGAAAATTCCCTATTAGCAGGGTTACATAACAAATAATTTTCTTAGTTTTTAAAAATGTCAAAAATTTTAATTATATGTGTTGTAAAGTATCCACCACTACTATCGAAATAAACGAAATGGACCCCTGAGTTTGTAAACCGATATTAAGAAAAGGTAGGGGCAAAAAAATTTGAAATTTGGAACATACAGGGTGGCCAAATGAAAACGAAACTGAGCCATTTTCAGGAACTGCGTCAAGATTGTAGAAAAACTTTCAGACTCGTCGATTTTGATTAAAGGTAAAGGGATTTTGTCGGTATTTTTGACTCCGCCACTTTCACCCCCAAGCAAGGGTAAGGGTAAGGGTAAAATATTTAAATGGCATTGGGGGTTGAGTAATATTTCTTTTGAAAGCTCTTACAATTCTCTTTACAACAGACTTTAAATTTTATAATTCCGTTCTATACTTATTAAGAATTTTGATTTTATAGTTGATACTTACGTACAAACAATTGTAACGGTAAAAATGTTAGTCATTCGAATTAAGTCCGCCAATGGTATAAATCTAGTATTTCTTGCGTTACATTGGTTTTTGCCGATTTGTTCCGCATTGTGCGCTAATTGTCCGTTAATATTTGGACCAACGTTTTCTACGGAATTGGATTGGGAGAAGAGGCAGCATTGAGTGGCCTCCACGATCACCGGATTTATCGCCCCTTGATTTCTTTTTGTGGGGATACCTAAAAAGTAAAATCTATAAAACACAGCCAGCGTCGCTGGAAGATTTGCTTCAAAGAATCGTCGATGAATGCCGTCGAATCACTCCGGAAATGCTTCGGAATGTGCACGAACGTTTCGAACAAAATCTTTTATTCTTGTATGGAAGCGGGCGGTCGTCAGTTTGAACATTTAATTAACTAAGTAGCAAGTAAGCAACTAAACTTAATTTAAATTTTAAAATTTAAATTTTTTTCAAAGTATTGGGCGCAATTGTAAAATTTAAAGTCTGTTGTAAAGCGAATTGTAAGAGCTTTCAAAAGAAATATTACACAATCCCCAATGCCATTTAAATACTTTGTGGTGATGCTTACCCTTGCATGAGGGTGAAAGTGGCGGAGTCAAAAAAAAATACCAGCAAAAAATGTCCCCCTTTAATCTAAAATCGACGGGTCTGAGCGTTTTTCTACAATCTTGACACAGTTCCTGAAAATGGCTCTGTTTCGTTTTCTTTTGGTCACCCTGTATATAGCCTCACTATTACTCTATTGTGTACTAAAATTTCAGTTAGTTTCGTTATCCCATTTTTAGTTATTAATGAAAATGTTGAAAAAATCACGGTTTTCTGCCTACAAAATTGATACCTCTCACTTTTAACTCGTCGTAATTTTTTTGTTAATTGATAAAAAAATTCCAAATTTTTACTGACGATAAGGCCAACTATTGCCTTTAGTACTATGAAGGTCATTTGTCTCAAAAGCTCTTCTTTTTTTATTTTTAAGCAAAACAGAAGGGAGTGATATCTTCGTAAATATTGGGGACGATGGGAACAGACAAAGACAACGCACGACAACCATAGAAAAGGGGGGACATTTACTCCGATTTAGCTACAAGTGCACCAAATACGAGTTTACGTGAAGAATTTATTTAAGGTGTAGGTACCTATATTTGGGTGAAAGTACTCAGTTTTAGTTCAAATATTATCACAAATGAGTAAAATTGTCAAAGTGCCCAATATTGAGCGAAAATGTACTCAATGATTTCACCCAGTGGATTCACTCCGTACCTTTATTGATTTCACTCACGCCGATTTTTTTACAGTGTATACCCACTAATACGGCCATGGACATAACATAGACGAATGTTTGGTTCTTACCTTTTTGGTCATCTTATTTATTTATTTATTATTTCAAATATCGATTCAATAACATGGATTGTAATAATTATCAGTTACCGAATTTAAAATCCATACAACCGCCCATAAGAAATTAAATCACTTAACTAAATGAATGTTCGATGTTTCACAAAGGCTTAAACCAATTTATATTTTACTTAAAAATGCTTTTAGTCATCAAATTCGCTTACAGTGAGATCCGATATACTGAAGTATGTGTTTTTTCCTACATTCTCATATGCAAGTGCAATTTTATAATTATAATTGATTCTCCTAAGCTGCAGTTCATTCAATAATTTAATTCATAAAGCGAGGACTAACGGGTAGAGGCTTCGCCCGAAGATTTATCCCCTCGTAGTCTTTTTATCTGTCACAAGTTTTAAGCGCCAAAGCGGAAAGGTAGCTAAGGGAATCAATTATTTAATGACGTTTCTCGCTCCGAATTCCTCACTAACGATATCTCCTTGCTTTTCAGATCACGTCTCCGAACTGGCGCGTCAATCAGAGAATAAAACTTTGCTCCTATTCTCCCAGGTGTATCGGAGCATGGCGGTCCTATCAAGGGAGCCCATAGAGAATTTATACAGGGACATCCGGAATTACATCAGCGTCAACACGTCGATACAGGAGAAACCCTCGTCTACCCCGGAAAAAATCGCCGCCAGCGTGACTCTGTTCTTCACCGACTTATTCCCGTTGGCCTACCATCACTCCGCAGACATATCCAACAAAGATTTCACCACGGAGTACAAGGAATGCTTGAAGAAATCCATCGAGACCATATCACCCTTCGGGGACATACCCAAGCAAATATCCCAGTCACTTTCCAAGAGCTTGGAAGCTACCAGGATGCTCCTACAAGCGTTCCACACCGGAGCGGAAGTCTTGAACACGACAGACACACTTCTGATAGACGAGCACGGGACGAGTAACACGGAATGCCACGACGCCCTGGTGAGGATGACGTACTGTCCGAAATGCTTGAGTATGAAGGATCATACTAAGCCATGTTCCGGATATTGCTTGAACGTAGTGCGGGGTTGTATCGCGAAGTACGTAGCGGAATTGGACTTGCCGTGGAACGGGTACGTGGAGGGTATCGAGAACCTCCTCGGCGCCATGAGGAGGAGCAACAACGACGCGGGGGTTAACGCGGACATCGTTATCAGGAATTTGGATACAAAGATATCCGCGGCCATCATGAAGTACATGGAGAAGGGCAAGGATATTGACACAAGGGTAAGTGAAATCTGAAAACTTTCCGATTTTTTTTTTAATCTAGTATGTGTAATACTTTTTTCTTCATATAATACTTTTTAATACAGTATAAATATATATTTTCCTTACGTATTAGTTTCGGCTGTTAAGCCATCATCAACATCAAAGGGAAAGAAACTACAATATCTAAAACACAATCTTCATCAGACAATCACAAAAAAATAAAACAAATAAATTAAAGAATCGACAAAGTCAAACAACTACATTCATACACTGGAATCTGTTGATGATACATGTTCTAGTTATACAGCGTGTCCCACTAGTGCGGGAAAGTCCAATGTCTATGTTAAAATGAGGAATATATGGATTTTTCTTTATACTGTGTTGCCACATTTCTCGGAATGTACAAATTAAAAATATATTCAACTATACAGGGTGTTCCACTTTTCCTGGACAGACACCAACTTTGGTTTTTTAAATGGAAACACACATTTTTTATATTTTTTCGGATTCTACTTAAAAAATAAAGGGTACTTTGTGTAGAATAGTTCTATTCAAATATTCACAGTTTTTGAGATATCTCGCTTGAAAGGTTTTCGGCTAGTGGGTATTGGATACTGACAGGTTATACTAATAGCTACTAAGCCCATTTTTTTTATCAGATGTTTAGTAAGGATGACTGTTCCGAATCATGCTCCAAAAACTGGCCTGCGTTATACAGGGTGACCAAAATATCATGTCAAATTTGCCAATTGAAAAATTGAAAAATCTCGATTTTTTTTTAAATGCAACGCCCTGTATATTTTCATACCATTAGATGCAGAATTAAATTCTCTACAACTTTGCTATACCTGCTCCTATACCAAAATTCACTAGTTTTTCATGAAATCTCATTTCTATGAAAAAATGCGAAGTTTACAAATAGCTTATATGTAAAATAACGTAGTAGGCTCCTGTCAAAGGATAATCTGGATAATTTCGATTCACATAAGGTTTAATAGAAAAGCGACAGTAATAATTGTAAATGAATTACTCTAAAGAAGAATTAGTAAATAAATAATAGAATAATTAGTAAAACTCATGGTAACTGTTTATTGGCACGTCGTATTTACCAAACTAATAATCCAGATTTACAAAACAGTATCCAAAACAGTAAATTAACATCGTGCATTTCTAACAAAAGTAATAAAGACCTATAGTACGATCGTATTCGATGCAAAGTAATAAATCATTGCCTGTCAAGGGAATCAGTGCAACACATTTTATAGGGGGTTTTGGAAATTGAATAATTTCTTTATGCATTATGGATTAACAGTTATATATTTATGAAGGACAAAATGAAAAACAAAGGCATCTCCTTCGCACATTGGGCGGCAGGACAACAATACATTTATTACTCCCTTCATTATCCCTCATATGACTTGTGTCTTGTGTTTTTTGCGGCGGCGCGCGTGCCGGCCTGGCGTGGTCAGTTTCGTTTCGGTTGTATTGGTGCTGCGTGTTTCTCGCTCGCGATATTTGTGAGGTTATAACTGTTATAAGTGCAATTATATTTCTTTCGGGCTATATGTGTGTTTCGCGCTATTATTTGAGAATTTGTGAGTGAAATCATATTTCTTGTGCTCCGTAACAAAAGTGTTTTTAGTGTTTTATTTGTGTGCTGTGTGTGTGTTTCGGGCTGTTGTTTGTGAATCGTGAATGCTATTATATTTTCTGTGCTAGTGAAGTGAAGTTTTTTGTATTATTATTGCTCTGTTGTCGTTATATGGATAAATGGAGGCGGTGCCTGGATGTTCGCGAGCCGGATGTACTGCTGTGGGTACAAAAAAATCTATATTAAGTTACAGAGAAAAAACGATAATATTAAATGTCTATAACCCTTTAGAAAAGGATCATCCCATGAAACTGAAGACTGGTTTGGTGGAAATGTGTTCTAGATATACTGGAGTAAGCGAATTATCTGTTTTCAAAATTTTAAGAGAGAAGAAAATTGAAGGAGACGTTAAGAAACCTAAAAAAGGGGGTGCAAAGAAGAAATTAATATTAAATGAAGATGAGAAAAATGCAGTTTGGCGTACAGTACATAAATCATAGAATTTATATTTTGTTTATAATTTGTTAACATTTCTTGTTTGATAGAAAAATAACTTATTTTGTTGAGATTGGTAGAGAATTGTTGTTAGTGTTTTCATTTGATAGAATCATATCATAGGATTTATATTTTGTTTTCATTCTGTAAATATTTATAGTATATCTGTTATACAAGGTTTTTGCTTTGAAACTTCGTTCTCCTTATAAAAAAAAGAATCGTAATGGGGTGCGATGAAGAGATCAGTTCACGTCTGGAACCCTGTTCCTACAAAAATCCCTTTATTCTCATAAACTATTTGTTTTAAATGTAATTTATTATAAATCCAATTCGTTATTTAAATTCCACATATGTACTACATTTCACCTCTGTACGCGCCACTGTTTATTGTTCCCTGCTCTACGATCAAGCTCGCCAGGTTAGTATTTGACGTATAACCGACCACTTCGTACACTCGATGCACCTGGCCGACTACAGCTAGTACCAGAACACAGTGCGTATGCGGCGGTATTTCAGATTTTACATTCAATTTCATTTTAAATTTGAAACGGTTCATCTTACGCCTCCTAAAAATGATGACACGATTTTCCTTTGATAAAAGACCGACAATTATTTGCTCTACTTTGCATCGTTTACGATCGTACTATAGTTAAATTAGTAATTAACTACAAATCCAAGGTCAATTTTACAAAATTCAAAATAGCGGATCCAAAATGGCCGACTAAATTTTCAAATAATAACAGAATCGCAGCAATTCGGGGTTGCTGATTACGTATTCGAGGTCAGAATTGCGAAATTCATTTTGTAATATTTTGCTTTAAAACCTGAGTACCCAATCATGTGTTAACGTACTTTTTTCGGCTATATCTTGATCTTTTTTTGTAAAAGATCTATTTACGGGTTGAATTTTGTAAATCTGATCTCGGATTCGTGATCAGTGACATCGAAAACCCCCGTATACCAAATTTGGCGCGCATGTGTTATTTTTTGAAAATTTGGTCGACCGCCATCTTGAACTTTGCAAAATTAACCTCGAATACGTGATCAGCGACCCCGAAAACCCCCTTATACCAAATTTGATGCGAATCTGTTATTTTTTGAAAATTTGGTCGGCCATCTTGGATCCGCCTTGGAAAATAATTAAGTGCATAAAACAACCGATAAATGATATAATTTCTACGTAAAAATGAAGATATCATTAAATTTTGAGGACAAATAATAAATCTTTTTACACAACCACGTCTTTTAAGTTCAAACAGTTGACCTCAAATATTGTGGAAAAGTTTAAAACTAATGACAATATTGGAAGTATCATCGTGTAATTTTTAATTTGTAACACAAAAAACATATTTTGCAGAATTATCCTTATTGAAATGTTCGTGTTGGATTAGGGTTAATAAATAAAACTAGAGACGTTTCTGTTCAGGTCAGCGTTTTTCAGATGGGCTCATGATACATTTTTCTACAGTTATCAAGACATGGACCAATCACGGTATTAATAAATAAACAGAAAGATGTAACTAGGTATATATTTCTCGTAATATTAAACACTCCCACTCAATAAATTACAATTATGGAACAGTTTATGTAAAGTAACATTAAGTAATTCTTTTCCACGTCCAAAAATTTTTAATTTATTAGTGGAATGCTTCTAAAAATATTGTCAAAATTCATAATTTCTTATGTTCTAGATCAAACAGTGGTTAGAGTACGTATTGCATATACAGTGTTTATAAACTTGAGGAGGTACGAAAACTCGGTTGGCAGGAATATTTTTTACTATATTTTTTTTAATACGTGCTAACGTACCGCAATAATACTTAAAAACATTTTTGTCCGAGTCCCACATGACCGCGAGTGTTAGGCAACCAAATTTACAATGAAGTCAATAATTAACACAAAATTCCCTAAAGACAGAAAATGAGTCCAGTGGAGTACATATTACTATTCCTTACAAACATTGAACTTTAATCTGCAAAATGTGTTTCTTTTTTTAATAGAAAAGTATTATTTTTTATCAAAATAAATGCATCTTGTTCTGGTGTAAACGGTATTTTTACACAAATCTACATGAACTAAAAATTTAACAATCGTAACATAACCTTAAAATATTCGTTTTACTTACGGAAAAAATGTCGAATTTTTGGAGTTCTGAAAATAACTACTTTTTAAAAAAAATGATTTGTAGAAAATCATAGAAATGTAAAATTGTACAAACAATGAGCATAAAGAATACGAAACATTACGAACGCCTCTGGTAATCTCTGAAACAGCAACTTAAGAAGATCAAATTTACTGAGCGCCAAAACAAATCTGGTCGCATGGGATTCGGGCAGTTATGAAGCCACTATACATTTCGTTACAAATAGAGCTGCTGATGAGAATCTACGCCTATTTAGCCGTACATAAAGATATGCAGTTAATTTACAGTTTTCATCAACAGCTCTATTTGTAACCGCCATGTTCATTAATTTACTGCTGGGTGATTTTAATATGTTTTATGCTCTTATTAACACGCACATATACAGCGACCACAGATAGACAGCCTTTTCACAAAAAGAAAACACCGTTGAAAGTAATAATTCAAAAAAAATAGATGACCGCTCATTGCTCACTAATAATATTTTTTGAAATTTACGCAAATTTTGTAATTTGTATAGCGAGTAATTTCTGAAGCTGTTAATAATACTGAAATTATAATAAGAATCGTTTACATTAATTTTTTTGAGGTGTTCTGTTCGCTGGTAAGTGCTTCAAAATGTAGGAAACAACTACTCTGCGGACTAAAGCCCCATCCAGCAATGAATTACATTAGTAATATCCAGTAAATATGTTATATCTCACGTATGTCAATTATCTTAGTTCTAAAAATTCCCACTTTTCAATAGTTATAAACTTGACTGGATTGGAATTATTTTTCAATTAATTTTTA